GCCATCTCCCGTGTGTGGTTTGCCTGTATAAATAAACAAAAAACACAGCAGAATGCTCAAAAAAAATAGTCTCTACTTCCTAGAAAGGATCAATATATAGATATGATACATATGGATATATCAATACAGAATTTGGGGGTTTTAAAACTTCTGGGGCTTTAACATCATCCCTTTAATACCTACAAAATAAAAAAAAAAAGAAAAAGAAATATCACCCATATTAATACACATTGATACCCACTTCAGGGTATTGGATATATTGATATTTTGATCTTTACTCTCTACTGGGTGTCAATCAATGTGAGTTGAGTCCATTACAAATGGACCATACCCAATCCAATCCGATGATATTTTGGACCAGTCCAATTTAATATTTGGACCATCTAATCTGTTCAAATTTGTTTTAATTTAAATTGGTCCTAATTCAAATCTCATTCATTGACACCTATATTCTTATCTTCTATTAATAGCTCAGATATTGGTTCAATCCAACCCAATCCAATATAAATTTATTATGAATGGACAAGGTCAAATCTAATCCAATAAACACTTTAAACCATTAAATCTGGACTAGTCCAATTCAATATGCTTTGTTGTCCATCCAATCTGTCCAAATTGATTTTGATTTGGATAGGTCCAATCCAAACCCGGTCCATTAACACCCTTCCTCTCTAGCATTGATTTCAATCATTTTAACATTGCAGTTGGTTACCCCTCCCACCTGAGCTTGGCCGCCTGGTCTATAGCCCTTTTCCACTCAACTCCAACCATTTCTGTGGCTCCTTAACTTGCTCTACGATAAGAGATTTGATGCGCTCCAGTCTCCGCTGGTCTTCATATGAAGGAACCTGAAAACACGAGGGGAAATAAAAGAGGTTGTTTTATTGGAGACACTATGGAGGCTATAGCAGAACACAATGGATCCAGATCGAGCATATCCTTGGTGAAAAAGACAAAGAAATAAGGGTTTATTATGACAAAAATTGTTAATATAGAATTGTTTGTAATGTAATAAAAGATTAGACTCCTTCCTTTATTTTATTTGGGTAGGTCATTAAAAGGGCTCAAATCGACAAATCCTGTGTTACTTAAGTAGTAGGAACGATTCATTCCAACCACGGAAACTCTGACAAGTGACCTAGAACACGTGAGTCCCATGTGACTCAGTAAATATTAATAGTATGATAAATCTCTTTGTTTTTATTTTTTTCCTTTTAAGCCGAAAAATCTCTCTGTTTGAACTAAAAAGAAGGGAGATAAAAAAAAAATCATCTAAACCCATGGTTTTTAAAATCGACCTGGTCAGGGGTCTCGTTATCGGGTCGAATAGTCTGACCATTTGATTGAAAGGTTGGCAAAAATAAATAAAAAATAAAAAATTTTGAAAAACGTTGCTGACCAAAATCAACGGTTTTGAGAAAAACAGAATCAATTAGATGATCGATTCCCAATTTTTCCGGTTCTAACCGTCCAATCCAGTCCAATTTTGAAAAGCATGTGTAAACCAGAATAGTCCAAAAATATCTCCATCTCTTTCTCAATCCTGTAGAAGAAGGAAGCTAAGATATACTTTTCTTTGTTTCTGACCATCTTCTACTTGTATCTTTCTCTTTGTCGCAGATTTAGAATTCAGGTTTCGCTTTTTACAGGACAACTATGAAGCATGTTCATGGTTTCTTGGAAAGAACACCCCTCCCTCTCCACAACTCTTGCAGGTAGCCTGTAATGAAGAAGAAAATGTAGTAAGAGTCTTTATTTATTTATTTTTGAATATGTTCTTGAAGAGAGAGGTGGGGTGGGATACATGATACCTGAAAAGGCTGTAACCAATCAAATCTGGTCCAGTATGAGTTAGGGCCTTTTTAGTAGGTTTAATCACTAATACCGTAAGGGTGTCAATTGGACTGGATTTGGTCCAATCCAATCTGGTCCAGAATGAGTCCATTACAAATGGACTAGATTCAATCCAATCAGATGAATGTTCTGAATCATTTTGGACTGGTTCAATTCAATTTCTGGACTGTCTAATATGTTCAAATTGTCTTTAATATAGATTGGTTCCAATTCAAACCTGTTCCATTGACACCTGTGTTCTATCTTATGTTCTGTCAATGGAGTGGATATTGGTTCAATCCCACCCAATCCAATATGTGAATTGACTAGGTCCAATCCAATTCAATAAATACTTTGGACCAGTAAGTCTGGACTAGTCCAAATCAAAGTGTTTTATTGGTCCCTTAGTCCATCCAAATTGATTTTGATTTAGATGGGTTGAACCCAAAATTGGTCAATTAACACCCTTGCTAAAGAGTAAAGATCCATCCAAATATATCCATTTATGAATTAAGAGTGCAATTTAGGTTGGCCCGAGTTAATATTTTACATTGCTTCTAGTTTGGACTTTGAGTCAGGTCTGGTAAAAATTTGACAAAAACCCAACCCAAGGCCATCCAAGTTATTATCAAACTGTAAAAATTAAATAAAAAGGAGTATTAATTATCAAAAACTCTGAATATACGAATTCTGCATTTATATATATTGAGTTTTTTGTGTAAATTCCCAAACTTTACTCTAAATGGAAGGGTGACCACCTTCAAATCTGTTTACATTAGGTTGAGTACTCGAGTTAAACTTAAATATTGATCTGTTAGAGTTGATTGGGATTGGGTAGGTGGCAACTAGACCCAACAAACATGAGTTGCACCACTAGCCATTCGATACGTGGCAATTTCAAGTCATGAAGGGATCCGTGTATTTCCTGTTTCATGGACTGACGTGAGACAATATTTTTAGCTCAATAGCTCCCCAGTGTGGGTCAGTAACACCGTCTTGGGCAAATTTCTGTAGCCATGACAAAGATGGTTCAGCCAAGTATTTCAAATAAGACAATGTAGATGGTTGAAATGTTGAATCCCAATCCTCTGTAGCAATGACAAGAGAAGCAAATCTTTCCTAATCAGTTATTTACAAATTAATATATGAAGAGGACATACATGGATTGGATAGACTAGACTCACTAGAGATAAGAAATAAAATAGTGGGCATTGAACATGAAGCCAGTTTAGAAGTTGTCCATCCTTTGGGTTGACACTTAACAGCCTAATATCGACCGAGTTTACATTGACGCTCCACAGAGCGCGACCCATATGCATATCTCAGCTATCAAGTAAAACACAAATTTGTATCGATCATTTCAAAATACGACGACAATGCAAGACAAATTGTATTGTACCAAACAAAAGGCATTTGGTTGAACCATTTGATATTGTAATCCGATCACGTAATCGTATCGAATTCAAATTCAATTGAACTCAAACAACTAGATACCATTTGTAGCCCTAGCTCCAATATGAACTCAGAAGCCTTAAATTTAAGTGGATGTTTGGTGTGAATAGGTGTTGCAATTCTGTATGGGGCACATGCCGCACATCAGCTCCATATCTGCCTTTCAAGTAAAACATTTGATTGAACCATTTGAGATTACAATGGTCATGCCTCGCGACGAACCAACTGCTCAAATCTATTACATTTCAAATGCTGTAGCATTTACTTGGCTTACCATGTGGCAGGCCTAGAAGGTGTTTGACAGCATGAATGATTTTATTTTTTGAAAACCAAAAACTGCCACGTCAACAAAAAAATATAATCCATTTTTTATTTTAAAGTGAAAATCAATCAAGTTGTCAAACACCTCTGACAGCGTTCAAATCAGGATTTGCTTTGTTACCTCATAGCTCTCTCTATATAATATCTCTTTATTAATAACAACACACAAAATATGAGAGATGTTCTTGATGTGCGGTTGGGACTCATTGTGAGGTTGTGTCAATAGTGCTTATCAAACGTGTTTTAAGAGGAAACGACACTCTGTGATGGTAGGGATTATAGTTGATAAAGATAATTTTTGGGCCCTAATATTAATAAAAAAAAAAATTAATATAATTTTTAAAATAGGATAATTTTTTAAAAAATATGTTAAGAAAGGCAAAACTATTCATTTTCTTCCTCCAAATCACTTCCGCCTTCGGTGCTATGTGGAGGGAGAGAGAGAAAAAGAAAGAAGATGAACACCTCCGGCAACGCCAATCCGCCACCCACTTCCGCCTATCTCCGACAACGCCAATCCGCCGCCCACCTTCGCCTCTGCCTCCGCCCATAAACACTATTTTTGCTTTACAAATATCAATGAGAGAACTGAGAAGGAGATGGGAGACCATATAAGTAAATATCGACGACGAAGGAGATCAGAGATCGAGAGAGGGAAACAACTAGAGATGCCAAAACTCTAGAGAGAAAACATGGAGAGAGCATGGAGGCTTTCTTCATCAGGTTGGACGGTGCGTGTTGCAGTCGCCCTCCGATAGAACAATCGAAGAGCTCGCTCCCATCTCCGACCATTGCCTGTATCATGATCTTCTCCGAAAACTATGAGCCACAATCGGAAGAAGAAGAAGGTGAAAGTGGTGACTAGATCGGTATAGCCTCTGCCCATGTATCTACTGAAAGGGAGCTTGAGAATGAAGGGCCAAAGCAGCTGAGCAGTGACCATAGTAGTGCCAGTGCCATGGGCTCCGACGAGAAGGTTGAGCTTGGCTAGAGCCACCATGTGCATCCTCTCTGCTTCTGTGGTGAACCCAAGAGAATTTAAGGGTGGTTAGGAGGAGGGAGAAAATAAACAATGTTTTTGCGATTTCTTGATATATTTTTTAAAAAATTATTCTATTCTAAAAATTATATTAAAATTTTTATTTTTGTTGATATAAGGATCCAAAAATTGCATTTATCACCTATAATCCCTTCTTATATTTCATCCTCTATTTTATCACCATTCACCACAAACACTTCCCAAGTGAATCCAGGGGTTAACATATGCTACTACTGGATTCATCTTATCATTTGCCCTCGTGGAAGGGTGTCAGGAAATTATAAAAGAAAAAAAAATTACTTATTAGAACCGCACGTATTTTTTACCTATTTAACTGTCCAACCGTATTTCTCTCACTGTCGTCTCGATCGAATGAAACGCGTTGGCAAAGGAACTTTGAGTTTCTGAGAGAGGTCCCTCTTGTTCAAAAGTAGAAGAAGAAGGAGAGAGAGAGAAGAAAAGGAATTTATATTTATAAAAAACAAATCTGCTTTTCGGTTCGAATCCGTACATTCATGGCGCTGCTGATCGGACTTAAAGCATCGTCTCCTTCTTTCCGCTATTACCCACTTTAGCAGAGTAGCGAATTTCTCAGATCTTTCCGTTCCATCCCAAGCCTCTCTGATTCAACTTTTGGAGATTTCTTTCTTCCCAATCCAAGCGAGCCTTAATGGCGTTTTGTTGTTGGAATGTTGTACGTAGGTGAGGAAAATGAGATCGAAATCTCTGTGTTTTTCTTATAATCTGCTACATTTCCTTTCCTGAAATGGATGATATCTCGGAGATCGACACTCTCGTTTTGATCTTAGTTGATGTTTTGTTTCTCAATTTGGTTTGGAGATTTTCTTGTATTTTGTCATTTCCTTTGTCTTCTAAGAAGCAAGAAAAGGATCTTTTTTTTTTCTGAGGCGAGGATCAAGTTCAGTAGATTTCTCTTACTTGCTTTTATTGCACGCACACCAACACATTTTGCTGACTGGATTCTTTTCTTCAACCTGGGAGATCTTAACGCTTCAGATGTGCCTGATACCTTGAAGGGCATTTTTTGCTCGTTACTGTTTAAACGGATTACAAATGGTTTAAGTGTTCCCATCTAATCATTTTAAATCTCTCTTTTTTCTTTTTTTTTTTAAATTATCCCGTAAATTTCTTTCTGAAAATGATCTCTCTCTTAAGATTCTAGAAATAATGGTGGAACGATCTATGCACATATTGGGTGGTCTGTAAGGCGTAAGCAAATGAGAAATGCATTTTCGAGTTTACGATTCTAAATGGAGACTTTTATTTGCGTCCTTTTAGGCTGATTTTGTGGTGTTGGATCGAGTAGTACTTTAAAAAGCTAATAGGTTCTCACCTTTAAAACTGATCAGTACGGCGAGAAGCTCTTCTAATAGTGATAGACAGAAAAAATCCTTTTTCTTTTTCTGTCTGGCACCGAAATAATGAGTCAGTTAGCAGTTTAAGCTTATGCTTCTATGTGCCATCTGCAATATTATTCTCTAATGCAAACGCACTCCCCACCTTTTGAAAGATGAATGACATCTAGATTTTTAGGTTGACTAGGGCTCGTATCCTTGGTTTCTGCTTGTGGTTCTTCCACTTTGTTGTAGCTATCAGACATTTTCATATGCGCATGCAGACTAATGCACAGGTAGGAGAAACAATTCCTAAAAGGACACTTTTCCACACAAGTGCTGGTAATTTAGGTCTACTTTCCAAACTGCATAGGTTCTAATTTCCAGAAATGCCCTCTCTGGACATGTTTAGAACAGGGAAGGCATGCAGGTTTATTTCTTACTTGTTCAGGTAGACTAGCTGCTACATTTCTTTTTCATATAGGCAGATACATGGGGTGGGGGGTGATAGCCTTTTTCTGATAATTATTATCTACGTTACATGCATATGTTCTCTAGACATATGATTGGGAGATCAGAACTAAATAAATTAACATAGTTTCACTTCTGATTTTTTTTTTCTGCATTTTCAGTGAGAAATAGATGCTGATAATATTATAATCAGTGGTGGGAGCAATATGAGCCATGAAAATGGTGTTCTTGAGCAGCTTCCTTGCCAAGTTAACGGGACAATCAATTGTGATGTAAAGACTGCATCTCCAGGTGAAAGTTCAGAAATTGTGCCCCAGTTAGAAGAGAGCTTGGCTTTAAGTTCTGCTACAGAGAATGTTCAAGACAGATCAATAGATACTGCATCTYCAGATGAAAGTTCAGAAATTGTGCCCCAGTTGGAAGAGAGCTTGGCTTTAAGTTCTGCTACAGAGGATGTTCAAGACAGATCAATAGATACTGCATCTCCAGATGAAAGTTCAGAAATTGTGCCCCAGTTAGAAGAAAGCTTGTCTTTAAGTTCCACTACAGAGGATGTTCAAGACAGATCAGTAATCCATGTGGACAGCAACGGTTTGGTCATAGATAAGGTCTGCTGCATTAGTATCTATTTGATTGGGTAAATATGCCTTTATTTGTTTGATTTTAGATCAACATCAGTCCCTGTTGCTTTCTAGGAATTAAGTGGAGAAGACAAAGAGCAGACAGACCATCACAAACCACAGAAAGGTCAAAGGAAGAGCAAGAATGAGAAGCCCTCTAGCACTAAAGTTGGTGTGGCAACCTCGGTGCAAAAGACCAAAGATGGAAAACATGTGGAGGCAACATCTTCTGCTCTAAATGGTTCAGTTACCTCAACTGTGAGGTCAAAGCAGTCTGTTGCACCTGCAACCAACTGGAAGTCAATTAATGATAGGCAATCTGTTGAAGGAAATGCAAGTTCTGAATCAAGCAGGCCAACAAAATCTTCTGCAACAAGTACTGCCCAGAAATCCCAGGTAAATTCTTATAGTCTTTGTCCCTATATCTATAGCCCAAGTACATACTCTCTTCAAAGTTAGATTCATTTGCTCTTATCCAGTAAGTGCCATTTATGCCATTAATGATCATGATCATCACTTTTCTTCTGCTTTCAACAGCAACATGGAAAATCTGTTTCAGCTCCCAACATGAATGTTTCACAGTCTGAAGGCCCGAAGTAAGATTTTAGCTTTTACTTGCTGCCTGGAATAGCAGGCCTTGTTTTCCTATTTTTATCTAACTTGGTTCAACATTAATCCTTTTTGAGAGAGGATGTTGGATGACCCAGTGAAACTCCACATAGTCTCTCTTCAATGTATGCAAAATGCTAAGATATGCTCTCTTGTTACAGGGAGCAAGGCAAGCATCTGAAAACACTGAAGGAAGGAGTATCCACTAAAGTTGAAGAGAACGCAATTTCCACTTCTCTGTATCCTTGCTAATTGTATTCTTCTTCACTTTTCAAGATCCAAGTATTCCCTGGCATTATTTCTATTTAATGCTGTTTTTTTTTCTTAATTAAATTACTAAATTGTAGAAGCCCCAAAGCAGGAGGTCCAAAAACCCGAAGAGTGGGAAGTTTACCTTCCTATGGCTTTAGTTTTAGGTGTGATGAACGAGCTGAGAAAAGAAAAGAGGTTAGTTTTTTTTTTTTTACCTCAAAGCTTTGGTGAAAAAATGTGCTCATCTCCAGCAGAAGCTGTACTTCATTAACTAAGATTGATTTTAATTTTCTATCATTTCTTGGGTAGTTCTTCTCAAAGCTTGAGGAAAAGATCCATGCAAAGGAAGTAGAGAGATCAACATTACAGGCCAAATCCAAGGTGACATGAGCCTATGAATTGAGCCTGTTACTGACTTACAATTAAAATCTTTTCTTTTTAATGAAATTACAGCCACATCTTCTATAGGAAACTCAAGAAGCAGAGATTAAGTTGCTCAGGAAGAGCTTGACCTTTAAAGCGACACCAATGCCAAGTTTCTACGAGGAACCTGCACCTCCCAAGGTGGAGTTGAAGAAGGTAGCCTTTTCTCCCCATTACCAAGAATACTGTCAAGTAGAACCAGATTGAAATCTGAGTAAGATTCAGATTATAAAACCATATGATCTTCAATTATGAAATGCTCACATATGAGTTAACCCTAATAACAATATCTGTTTGCCTACAATTTAAAAAAATGTTAATGTGTTGGTAAAAGGGCCATTACCCTTTTTTAATTAATGGGCAATTACTCAATGTTGGTCCCAGCTATCTGGTTCTTGGGAGGGGTGGACTGGACATGGACCTAATCCTCAGTATTTACTGGTTTAAAATTTTATTCTCTTGATTGTTTTAGACTTTCAATGGTCCAAAATTCTTGAATGTTTTATTAAGTTTTTTTCAACCACTTTATGAAAAAATTGTTAATGCCGTTACTGTAACCAGTTTGATCCTAATCTTCATTCTGCTAACCCATTCTTCTCTTGTTTACCTTTCGTGTACTATCCGTTTGTCTATACATGGAAAGCAAGCTTTTCTGAGATGCTTTTCACACAAGAAGTAAGTTGTGTCATTGAGAGGGATTTGCTACATATTTTCTTATCTTTGATAAGAAAAGTACTGTATATTGTATTAATATTCTAAAGGGAAAATTCTCTAATAAAAGTTTATAAGTATAGCTGTTCAACAATGAGAACCAGTTTTGTAAAGAAATCTACACATCAAAAGTCCCATCATTATCCAATTCCTATAAAACAAAGCTTTAGTACTATAATCCTCAGAAATCATTTAAGTTTAGATGACCAAAAGTAATGTTCTGAAAATATGAAAATATGACCCCTCCTCCATCAGTTTCTTCTTTCCATACTGTCCAACATATTGTAGAAGATAATAACTTTCATGAAACATGTTCTTTATAAGTAAGACCATAAAATGACCAGGCATGGACTTCATTGGTTATGTTGCCTGGAAACACCCAAAGCATGCTAAATTTTATGTTCTTGATAGCCAGGCATTACCTTTTTGTTTCTGTTCCCTGGACACTCACAGCATGCCAAATTACCTCATGAAGTGGCACCATACAATAAGAGAAGAGGCACTGGAAGAGAAAATGGGTATTAATTCTTTAGTTTCCCTTGCATGGTTAGCACTCGGTTGGATGTTTTATTGCGAGGCATGAGATTGCCCTTTTTTTGATGAATAACAGATTTTATTTAGAAGAAACAATGAACTATGTACAAGAGGAATATGAGGTTGCCTATTTGTGAGGACTTTATACCCCCAGTTGTATTTTGCAACTGGACACCATGGAATGTAATCCTTATCCTGGATTTTCTGCATTGAACACAATACTAAATAGAAAGAAGTTGAGGAAGTTTTGAAATTTAAATGATATAGTTTCTCCTGGGGGAGGGTTGATCCGCCAAATTCAGTGGATAAAAATATAACATAGAGCATAGGTATTGGTAATAACATATAAAGTTCAAGATGTTCATGACTTGATGTGGAATATCCCTGCCTGGAAATGTTGAAGAGGATGGCAGAAATAGAGGAAAACCAACTTACCAAGTTTATCTCTTTAGAAAGTTCTATGTCATGCTATAATAAATTAATAATTTAAGCTCAGACAAGTATTTCTTCGTATTGTCCAAAATTTAGTTGCATATGTAGAAGTGATTATGTTTCAATCTGTAAATCCAATACAGCTAAATTGTTGGCAAAACATGGTTTTAGGATCCTTGGTTGAAGAAACACCACGAGTATGTCAAATATGCAAAATTCAATGGAGAAAGAAGTTCAAAAACTACTGAGAGAAACAAGTTTATTGTTTTTGGTCCAACAACACCATGCTGAATATTATGTAAAATATAATTTAGCATGCAAAATTACTGGACAAAGGTCAAAAACTGAGGCAAATGTGAGTTGGGCTTACTTTTTCTAGATCTGAGAGCTCAATTGTGGGCCTGTCAATGCTGTGGGTTTACCAATGAGTAACGACATAGCTCTATGAACTTGTGATGAGTCACTGGAGTTTTGGCTGTTAATATGCACCTAATATCGTGTTGGATACTTCACTTTTGAGTTTAAATTCTGTATCTGATACCATGTCCAACTATGACTTGCCATACAACAGAGGTCCACCACTGGCTACCATTTGTTATGAATGGTATCACTGTTAAGTGTTAACTCCATCATATGACAAGAATAACTGCATTTTTTGGATAATATATGTTCTAATGTGCAGAAGAAAGTGTCGTTTTTTATGAGTTTGGGTGTGGTTTGGAATTTATCCTGTTAATATACCAAGTCATATGTTATGGTTCCTGCATGCAGGTAGTATTTGTATTGCTGATATGTAGGATGCAAACTTGATGCTAGAATTCTCTTGAATAAAATGCTCACATGGAAATGGGCCACTTTCTCAAGATGATTTATGGATGGAAATAGATAAGAGTCAAATTTGTAATCGAGTTCTATTTTGGAGGCCAGTTTTAGAACTCTTCTCCAGCTGTGTTTGAAAATCTAACTTACCTGATTGTGCAGATACCACCAACAAGACCCAAATCGCCAAAGCTAGGTAGGCATAAGAGCTTACCTGTGGAAAAAAATAAGAGCTTACCTGTGGAAGGTTCTGAAGGAAATAGCAGTCACAGCAGTAGAACTGGCAGGCTGAGTCTTGATTCGAAAAGCTCCCAAAATGGCTTTGTGAAGGGAAAATCTCCTGTACAAACCAAGAAGCCTCTGAGAAAGTCTCTTCCTAAACTGCCCTCGCAAGAGTCTACGTTAACCAGTGTAACAGATGATGCCACAGAAAAGGAGTCTGTTGCAGTTGCTGTCCCAAATGAAAGTGTGTCCAGTCCAAATAACGAGCCTATTGCTGAAGAACATACATCACCCTCAAAGCAGGAGCCCATTGGTGAACCAATTGCTTCAGAGCAGCAGTAAAAATCGATATGCACCTGCATACTCTGGAACATCAATACTATCTTTGCCTAAATTAAGGAAGGTATGAATAAGACTGGAAATCTGGAATTCATTATCAATAGAGTGAAGGATTTCGTATTATGGTTGTATTGTGCTCTTGTTCATAGTCCGCTTTAAGGTTGCTTGGTTCTTTACATGGTTGCTTTTGTGATTGCTGGTCCAGTTGAATAGGACTTGCACTCTACTTGCAGCATTGTATTATTATTTATAGGGGTTTTCTTCTTACCATTTTCAATTTTAATTTGAATATATTTTTGGTTGCTGAGTATTAAATGCTAAATTACACTTGGTCTTCGCCTGAATTGGTAGCGAGTATATTCCATTGCACAAGTGAAAAAGAATAAAGAATACTACCTCTTGCCTTGGTGCTACCTCTTACACAATTATAACCAGCCAGTGGTGAGCTGATGACATATTTCTTTTCTTGGTAATAAACTCACCTTCAGGAAGAAAATCGAGGAAAAGAGCATATCAAGAGGATCACTTGTATCTGAGCTAACCCTTGTGATTGTAGCGGGTTTAGTTAAGAACAGCAAATTCATTTCTCAAAAAGCCCATAAAGAGTTTGGCAAGATATTTTGACTCCCTCTTTTATTTGGGTAGTTTACAGCCATCCTGAGGTTTGCTGTTTTGTTGGTTTTCCAACCCAAAAAGCACTTAAAGCAGTTACCATCAGAGGAACCTATCTGCCCAATCACTAAGCATTGTTTATAGTCTGTGAATTTATTGGTTACCCTGCTGGAGTCTTGGTCGTGTATTCAATTTTTACATTGTATACTAATGTGATGACTGATGATCAGATTAAAAAGCTTTTTTTTTTTTTGAAAGATAAGTGAACTATATTAAGGATCATCAAAATTATGTAACCCTAGAGGAGACTCATGCAGCAACCTAAAAGTTAAGAACCAAAGTTTTTAGTACACTGAGCAGTTTCACTCTCTAATCTACTTGTACGAACAAAACTAACTTGGTTCATAATATTAAAAACATCCTTAATATCATCAATAATTTCATGGCATAACCAAGTAACCGAAAAGAAAGAAAATTAAAAATCCTTGTGTAGCCTCAAATTTAAGCCAGTGAATGATACGCAAAATACCACGGTTTACTCAAGGAGCGTTTTATGAGGCCTTAGCTGCATTCTTTCCTTTGTCCTTTTGGCCCAACCCATTTATGCCTTGTTTGAATGCTGCATGGGCCTTTTTATAATTAAAAATTCAGTGTTCATAGACTCATTTTAACAAGGTTGCATTTGGCATTCCTTACTTTAAGGACTTGTATCTTTTGCAGTTGAAATGAACTTGTTAACACTGAATTTTTAACTATAAAAGGAGATAAGTGTCCATTTGGGAGGGCTTTCGGGAGCTGGGACCTGGGATGCTTCTAGTATTCTAAGCTGGGTCACACACACAAACCTCAAAAGCCGTCTTTGTTGAAAACATGGAAAGCCAACAAGGATGTTCCAAAGACCAGAATCGTGGCTGCAACATGAAGCTACTCTGAGGTAGCTTATCCAAAAAACACGGGTGCAGGGTGCTTAACCAAAGCGGCTCAGTTAATGTACTTTGCCCCAAATGCAGAATCCATCCCAAAATGGGGCCTAAATTCTATCCAATGGGAATCAAAATTCTATTGACCAAAAAATTTATGTTCTCTTTTTTTAGATTTATGTGAGGATCAGGGAAAATTTATTTTTTTCTTTTTTGGTGATACCCATCTTCCAGGTGGATAAATAATTTTCCCACATGGGGAAAAGTTATCAACACTTGGATGGGACAAAAATATCCCTTTTAATAATGGATTTTTAAAACTAAAATGAACATTATCTTATTTACTTGAAAAATAAAAGAACATGAATAAATGTAATATACAAGTGTTTCCAAATACTTACTCCGTTAAAATAACTTACTAAAAGTGAACAGGACCAAAAGGTAAACAAATTATTCCACCAAAGTGGCATCCTTCTAGGAAAATAATCAAGATAAAGAACCTGGTAGGGAGCAATAGGCGCTGCCTCTCTTCAGATCCACTTCAATTCACGGAGAAGTCTGTCTTAGCAAGTTGGGCTACTCCTTTTCCTTTTTAATGCTAGGGTCAAGTTGGGCTACTGGTACAAAAGCCCTTCTCATATCATTTTTAAAAAGAGATACATGATCTTTAAAAGGTCAATTAGGGAACAAACCAGCTAACACACTAACAAGCCAGCCCTTGGTTGGTAATTAGGGAAGATTGATAGATCTTCATATCCTTACCTAGGGGCCCTTTGGCAGTCTTTTTGGGAAGATCTTCTGATCGCTCTGACAGTCAAAAGATGCATTGAGCTTTTGTATTAATATCTTTCCACACGAAGACGAATGAAAAAAAATGCAAAAGCTCCATTTGGAGCTTCCCAAAAATCGCATGTTTTGGACTTTTTGCATCTTTTCGATGTGTCATCTTTTGGCGGCTAGATCTACCGTAAACCAAACAAGAAAAGACCGAATCATGGTCTACCAAACTTGTAAATAGCCAACAAATTGAACGGAAAGATGTGCCAAATGGGCCCCTTTTATCTCATTGAATTAGCGCTCCTTCCTTTACAACATGAAAGTTTCTTGGGTCGAGTTGGAATATCGTGCCAATAACATAAGTTCCAACACCCTACCAACTTGATCTGACACCACACATCTCACCATGAAACTAGGACCCATCATAAAAGTGGGATCCATCATGCATGAGATGTACAGTGTCAGATGTTAGTACAGTGTTGGAACGTATTTTGTTGGCAGGTCATCTGAAGCCTCAACTTTCCTGGGCCGCTTAGACTTCTCTAATTAGGCTGGAAGGAAATCTAGATCTGTTGTTGACTAACAGCAGTGATCAGCACTGTAGACCCAATCAAATGCCACCAGCTGTTGTCTATTCAAGTGGGTCTCTTCTCTCATGTGATGCCACAAGTTATCATTTAGCTTGTAGCTTATGTAAAGGAGTTTCTTTTTTCTTTTTTTTTTATATATTTTCTTAAAAGAAAAATTGCACTCTAGTACCCCGGACTTTGGGGGTATAGTTCAAGTTAGTATCTAAACTTTTAAACGTGTTACAGCAGTGCCTAACTTTCAAAAAAGTGTTAAGTTGGTTCCTGTCATTAACCGACCGTCAGTTATTCGTTGAAAATATCAAAACTACCCTTCAAAGGAAGACACTGTTCATTATCTTCTACCTTGAGACTAAACCGGTTGAGGTGTTTGAGATTCTAGACTAATGAAGTCATTGTCTTCTACCTTTAGGCTATGTTTGGTTTGAAGGAAAAGGTAGGAAAAGATGGGAAAACCAATACAAGGTTTGTATAGGTTTCCCTACCTTTCCCTACATTTTCCTCAAACCAAGCATAGCCTTAGATCTGAAACACATTCTTGTCTAGTGATTTCTTTGCTTTCAGTTATTGTTTCTCTCAATAATATTTCATGCTTTCTCTCTCTTTTTCTTTTAAGTTAACCGATTCAGTCTCAAGGTAGAAGACAATGAACAATATCTTCTTTTGAAGGATAGTTTTGGAATTTTCAACAAATAACTGACAGTCGGTTAACGGTAGGGACCAAATTGATACTTTTTGAAAGTTTAGGTACTATAGTGACACATTTAAAAGTACGGGTACTAAGTTGACACTACCCCCAAAGTTCAAGGTACTAAAGTGAAATTTTCCATTTTAAAACAACAAAACACACGAATAAAAGAAAGATGAGCTTATTCAAAATCTACTCATTGTTGCACACTTGCACCTAAGAATAAAGACAAGCTTTAAGTACATGAATCAGCATTGGGTCATCTTGTAAATATGCACAAAAATTGCTTGTTTTATTGTATAAAATCCTCGAAGCAGAAAACAATAACATAAAGAGGAAAAGGATTTATTTGAAAGTCTTTGCAATTTGGTTAATTGGAAGCACTAATGGGCCATTTGGTTTACAAGGATAGGAGCCTAGAATCGGAATTGAAATGGGTTATTTAGATTCCAACTGTTTGGTTGGGCAAAATCAAATTCTATTCCCATTCCTGGTGGAATGACATTTCTCCATTTGAGAGAATGGTCATTCCATCCCCCTCCCTTGGAAATGAAATTTCATTCCAGCTGATTCCAATTTTTATTCTAATTCATGTCCAAATCAAACAACTATGGAAATAAAACAAACAAATTACGATTCCAAATCCAACTATGAACCAAACATACTCTAATTTTCAAAGGAAGATTGAAGAAGGCATACTTTGAGAACTTAACTTACAAGATGAGCAATAAAAATAGCATCGAGAACTGCAACATTAAAGTTCACATGCATTTGCTGTGCAGTGAATTATACGGGAGAGTACGGATTATCCTTCCAAAAAAAACCAACGTTCTTCTAGAAGAAGTATAAATAGAACATACCATATGCATGCATGGTCTAAGAGCTCAACTGGTTAGATGGAATAGAGTGAATGTAGGGAATCAGACAGGTTTTCATTTCGCTTTCTTTGTAGGAGTCAAAGTAAGCAGAGAGTTAAAACAGTTTTTGGATGGATTTTTTTCTAGTTCTTGGGTTTGTATTTGTAGTGCTAGAAAGCTTGAAAGTTTGATTGATTTTGCTAACAGAGGATTTTTATTTATTGTATTTAGTCCTCGAATCCCACTTCGAAAACTATCTGAGTTCTATATCTGAGAATGTTATGATATTTATGTTGGAGGGAGATTCAAAATTTCAAGAATCTCCTCTCTCCCTCCTTTGCTTGGTTTTGTATTCTCTCTCTTCCCTTCCATTGCATGTAGGAGATTCTTGTCCCACATTGCTTGAGAGAAGAGTTGGCTTTGAGTATATTACTAGGATTGCTCTCCCTATGGTTAGGGACCCATAGGAGGAGAGCAATATATATCTCTAGATGTATGTGAGGGGTGTTGGGGTGTTTTTCACACACGCGCATGTCGAGCCAATCTGGATTGGGTCGAGGCGTGGGTGAGTGTGTGTATACGCACGCTACACCTAATCATTTTGCCTTTGACCAGTTTAACCCGCTTTTTTTTTTACTTTTGAATTTCAAAGTTTGTTTGAAACGTTTTTTGTTTTCTTCTACCTGTTCATTTTGTGTCTTTGTGAATAGGTGCCTTGTTGCATTGTTATGGAGAGATACTTCTCTCTAAAAGGACACATCTATGTCCATTTTGGTGACTAAAAACACACTATAAATAGAGTGGTGTACGACCAAGTATTATATAACAACAAGTTCACAGTTCTCTGTTCTGTTTCTTTTTCTTTCCTAAACATCATTTCTAAGTGGTTCATGGAGGTCTAGTAAGCGAGTACACGTTTACCAGTGTCATGTGGGCTGTTTTATCTTGGCGATCGATTTACAATTACCTAACTGCACCATAAGGAGCGAATGCAATTTTAAGGAGAATGACCAAGTGCACGACTCAACCCTCCCTTCTCTGCAATTCTCTAGTTCATCTTTACAATTCTGCAACATTGCCGAGTATTATATAACAACAAGTTCATAGTTCTCTGTTCTATTTCTTTTTCTTTCCTGAACATCATTTCTAAGTGATTCACGGAGGTATAGTAAGCGAGTGCACATTTACCAGTGTCCTGTGAGCTGTTTTATCTTGACGATCGATTTACAATTACCTAACTGCACCATAAGGAGTGAATGCAATTTTAAGGAGAATGACCAAGTGCACGACTCAGCCCTTCCTTCTCTACAATTCTCTATTTCATCTTTACAATTCTGCAACATTGTCGATATTTAATTTAGAAAGCGTTTACCAATAAGTTATATTTTACCTTATTTACATTATTTTTTCCAACAATTTATAGCTTGAAATTTTGTCCAAAATTTGAAAAGATTTTTCTATAGAGAGCCGGCCATCGCCAAGTTTGTCAATCAAAAGCAAATCACAGTAAGGGCTAACGCTCTCAAACTTTTTAAAATGTTCAGAGAAAAATGCAAATCACAGTCAAGTGAGCTGGACCGCCTGCGGACCAGCAGCACGACTCAGGCCGTGCCTAACACGGGCCAGTCATTATAGCAAGCGGGCTGAAACCAAATTCCGTGCCATGCCGAGACGGGGGTTTTGAAAATGGCACTGAATCCGATCTCGTACAAACAGCACGTTGTACACATGTTTTAATACTAATAATGCTCAGACAAGCTAATTAAAGTGGTGATTTGGGCCGCACACGTCACAACTCACAACCCATTTTATCTATTTAAACTTTAAAGTGGTGTTAAAATTAGATAAGGGAAAATTCCCGATCTAAGATGTTTTTGAAAAAGACACAAATATTTTTCGAATATCATTTAATTTTATTTTATCAATCATCTAATCACAAAAAAAAAAAAAAAAAATTAATAATGTGTCATTTAATAATTTTTTTATCAATCATCTACAAAAAAAGTTAGAGATCCAAAATGTCCATGAGACTTTAGATGATTGATAAAGAAAATTAGAATGACAGTCAAACAATATTTTTATGTCTTTTTTCAAATGCCACTTATAACTTGGCTAGTTAAGTGCTGATTAACAATAAACACTGAATTTACACATTTTTAAAGTTCAGGGAATTGACACATTTTTAAAGTTGGGGAAAATACTAATCGGGAATTTCCCAATAGATAAAGATGTTCTTCCTGCTCAGCTGTGGGTTCTTTTTGTTTTTCTTCACATGGGATGTGCCCCCAAATCACCCAAACCCAAAGGAGGTGGTAAACCAAGGCTCAGTTTGGAAGGAGTACAGATACAAATATGTACATGCAAGAATAACCTCTACGGTACATATTTGTCTTTGTACTTGAGCCTAAGGTTTCTTTCTCAGAGACCTTCACAAGGGAGCCTCTTGGTTTCATGAAGAAGACGACAGGGCAAAGGGAAGATCGGGCTATAACTTGTTTGTATGCATCATATTACCTACCATACAAGCTCTTGCCATGTCCTAAGTTACTACTGATGAGTGTCATCAGCAATAGAGGAAGGGTATTACCTTACCTCCTCAATATAATAGGATCATCTTCAATATTTCACCTTCACCAGTTTGTTCTCTCAACACTTCAATCGGGCAAACGAGATTAAAGGATAATTCCCAGGGGTTTGTTTTGATTAATAAACAATCTTACCCCATGATGTAACCACTTTATGCTTGACAGATGAAATTAAGCCATGAAAGATTAACCACTTTAACTTATTCATTTCTTTATATTCACATCCTCACATACAAAAATGAATGATGAACCCACCAATAATCAATATCTCCTCAACTATGTCGTTCTCTAGAAACAAAGAAAAAGAAAGAGGGATCAAATCATCAAATGAAAACAAAGAAAAAGTATAGTCAGATCATTTTTGGCGGCCTAACCTAACATCTCTCACCTACTGCTCCAGATTCTTTTTTATACAAGGTGTAGAGAGACAGAGAGAAAGAGAGCAGATACTAATATAACGAGTTCTCTTTAAGTCTTAATTAGAATCAACAGTCAAGGGTGGACGAGGAGGAACTTAAGAGAAATTTGGTGTTACTGTACTTCTGTTGTTCCCTACTGCATCTCCCTCACTTTCTTCCTCTTCCTCTACTTCGTCGGCGTCCCATAGAAACCGAGCATAAGAAGCTAGAACATAACTGCACACAGAAACCGAGTTCGAGATGAATGAAAACCCAATTCAATCAATATCAGAAAAAAAAAAAAACCTTGATTTTGGACGAATTCAACTGGGTAAGCTTGAAATAGGTTGGCTATTCTTACCAGTCGTCAGGGGCTGCTTTAACAGCTTGATCGAAGTATCTCTCAGCGCGATTAGCGTCTCTGTTGGCCTCCCACATCAATTCTGCATAGAGCGACAGAACATTTTGGTCTGATGGGTTTGCCAGAATTGCTCTCCCACAGTACTCTTCGGCTTTGGCGAGATCACCTCGAACCTGTGTCCAATTAAAAGAAAAAACGTCAAAATAATTTTTCTTTACAAAAGAGAGAAAAATTGGCAACTATATAGAAATTGCAGATGCCATTAATTACCTCTTTCAAGAACTTTGCATAATTCCCAAGAAGAAGAGAGTTCCCGGGATTGGCTTCGATCATCTTCTGATAGTAAGCATCAATGTGATCATTCCCATGATTCGAATCCGAAAACCCAGAACCCCCATCACCGTGTCCGCCATTCCACCCTCCACCACCACCACCACCACCACCACATTTCAGGCCACCATCACTTCCAACTCCACCACCCACAAGAGTTGCCAAACCATAACCGTTCGCCTCAATGGCGCACTCCTCATCCATCGCTTCCCCCAACCCAGAGGTGGAAAGCATCCGCTCCAAAGACGAAGCACTCGGGTTGAATCCCATCTCCTGTTCATCCTCTTCTTCCACCGAAATCGAAGTTAGCCCATTAAGGTTCCCTCCGAATGGCTTCTTTTTCAACACTGCAAGCTCCCGGAGATCGGTCTCCGACAGAGTTCTCGGCATCTTGTTCATTGATTCGTCGCCAGGAGACACCGAAGCCGACGAAGCCGTTACCGAAATAGATCGAGTCCTCGGGATATGAAGACAAAAATCGGGTTCCGGTGACGAATCCTTGGAATGTGGAAGCCATGAATTCAAGATCGGTGTTGATGAGCTTCGAAGAAGCATTTGCAGTTCTTTTCAAGAGATGGTGAAAAGAATTATTGGAAAACGGAAACCCTGACGAGAGGGCTAGAGATGATGGATCGAGCTAAGAGAAAGCAGTCATCACTCATCGGAGAGAAGAGATGAGAAAAGGCCCCTTTTATAGAGAGAGGAGATTCAAATCTTGGCCGTTGATTGGAATCACGAGGTGGACGGAGGAAATATCTGGGATTTGGCGTCTGAATGGAGGCCATCGTCCTTTCAGGTGAATCCACGTGGAGAACTGTATCATGTAACGTGGGCCCATTTCGGCCATATTGTTTGTCTGGTAGTGAAGCATCGACGGTCAGTACTCAGTGTATTCGTTCCGGCCACGTGGAGATGAAATCGCTGCTGTATCTGATTAATTATAAATAATGGCGGTTCTGAGAGGAATTAGGAAACGACAAATGAGATTTTTTTCCGCGGTTTTTGTGCTAAATTCCATAACTACCCTCATGTTTTGTGAATTTTACGATACTACCGCTACGCATTCGCTGTCTCTGTCTTAAGTCTATCTCCTTCAAGGGGCCTCAACCCCTCAAAAGAGAAACCGGCTTGGGTCAGGGCAACCCCAATTCAAAGGAGGTTGTCTTGAAGACCACGGGCTCGTTTGGCGTGTTTTTTCGTGTGATTTTTCAGCTGTTTATGAATTGGATAGATCGATTTTCAATTTATTTTTGTTTGATTGTGAAAGTTCAAATTGTCAAAAGATGAAGTATTGAAAAGACATGAAAATTTTATTTTGGGCTGATTTCGAAAAATTATATATAAAATTTTTGTATTTTATTATCACACGAGAAGATACGCAAAGACGTATATTTATCAAACTAATTAACTTCACGCTGCTCAAATTTTCATGCAAAAGATCAATAAGTCTTTTGACCGTCAAAACTACTAAAAAATATTTTCAAAAATACTTACCAAACAAGTCCTATAAAAACTGAGCTGAATCCAGCCCAATTTTCTATGTGGAGAGAATCTTTTCTAAGGCCCACTTATGATTTAATCACGTTTTTTTTTTGTTTTAATAGAAACTGAAGACGTGGCAGCTTAGTTGGGACTTGGGAGACGTTAATGCCATTATGATGAATGTCTGTGTGTGATGAAGGCGCGTCGTTATAACATAGCCAACTACGTGAGTACGTGTCCAATTGCGTTACGGGGCTCTCTACAATTTATTAGATCTGCACGTGAGCAGGCGACAAAACTGTTTATACAAATCTGCACTGTGCCTGTCCGTATTTCTCCCTTTACATTTACATTCTAACCTTATAAACAAAGTTCAGATACGCTCTCAGGCCGACCTCACATATTTCATCAGGCTCACTCACACAAAGACACATTAAAAAGCATAATTGAGTTGTTATTTTCCCTTAAAATGGACAAAAGCTTAAATTTGATGGGTTTCTCAATTCATCAATCATTCCACGACGACACGACACAGAGTTAAAATGCAATTTGCCCCGGTTCACGTGCCACATATAGAAATTGGATATTATCAGGGTCGGTGTTATTTAATTAACAATTGATTAACAGTTAGTTAACAATAAGTATTGGATATTATCATATTTTAAAAGTTTGAATACTGAATCATCGTATTTTAAAATTTAGAAATCAAAATAACATTAAACCCAAATATAGGGTATTAATCAGAAATTTTCTATAAAATAAAACCACCAAATATTGGTGAATTTTATGATCGATGTGGGTTTGAAGACAGCATTCATTCAGTGGGGGCCCGGCCAGTTATGCTCTGTCCACAAAATAATCAGATTCTCTCTCTCTCTCTCTCTCTAATTTAATCAATTATAGGTTAATGGCTAATTGTTTTTTCTGTAATATGTGATCTTGCAACTCAAATATGCCTAAGTCTTGACCCGCTAATCCCAAATTAAGCCAATGGAAGAGGATAGATCTGTAGAAAGAATGGTGGATAAGAGTCACTAAAATGACAAGGATCATCTAATGGAAAATTTGACAATGATCTTATAGAAAATCTAAAAATAGAATATAGAAATAAATAAACAAACTATTCATCAAACATCCCTCCCTCCTATCATAATTGAAATAGCAAGAATTGCACTTCAAAATGATAAGAGGAGCAAGTGAAGAAGATGGGGAAAAAAGATAAAAATCAAGTGTGGGTAAGAAGGAAGTTGATTTTAATTTCTCCATTTTGTGGATTCATCCTTCTCACCCACATTTAATTATGGCAAGTCAGTCTTGGAAGCATGCTTGTCATATGCCTAATTAGATGCATACAGTGAGCTATGTAACTATATACATAATCGGTGCTTAAATTATTTCTAACAATTACATATTTGTTATAAAGCTTGTTGCAATGCAATTTCATTTGTATTAGTATAAATGCATGAGACTGTAAATGAGAAGAATGCAAACTATAATTCTCTTTTGCTTATGATTTTACTTTAATTCACTGAGTTTTTATTTTTACTTATAATAATTATCTAGGAAAGTTCATAACGTTCCATTTTGTATCACATCCAACTTAGTTGATATCTCTATGCTGTGTTTGGCTTCTTATAAGGAAATAAGTGTGAAAGGAAAATTTGTGTAGAAATTCTTAAGCACTTTCCCACGATTATAATTTTGTCCTTTCCTTACTAGCTAATTCTCAGAAAAGCCAAACACAGCTTTCGACTTTAATCAGTTATTACCTCTCATCAATGCCCAATTTCTGATAAGAAAAAAATACTACCATAGGAATGTGATTTGAGGAATGCACCAGCAATATAGGAATTTGGCTTTGGTAGGTGTAGCTTGTAGGACAACAAATTCAAGCGATGAAAAAGCAATAGGATTGAACTGAAGAAGTATCCAACGCATCTCCATCCCTATGAAGCTGACCAGCCCATGAATATCAAAAGCCACAAGAAAATTAGATTTGACCTTCTCCCCTTACGTGGGCTTCTTTATGGCCTTGCATGGAGGAATTGGCCCATCAAGGCCCTACAACAATAGTGCATAAAGCGACTACGCCCTGTGTCAATTCTCATTTGTGAAATACATGCCAACAACAACAACAAAAACAAATACTTACTTTGACATTACAAAGCTACAAATCCCTCGTTCATGTCCTTTTTCTCTTTCCCACCACCCCACAATGTGAGATCACAACAACATGGATGAACACGTATCCAGCCTGATACAGCCATGAGTCCTTTAATTTTGCTGTTCGTCTCAGACAATGGTTGAACCTTCCTGAATTAGGGTTTCTTTTTTTTCCATTCTTTTCCATGACCAGTGATTTCTCCAACCTACCCTTGCTAAGGGCCAAGGCTTTAAAACCAGACCAGATACTGAACCATTTTGACCATCAGTTCCTGAATCAGATGGTCCAATCATCCTGTTCAAACGGATGGCCCGTTCTGATTAAAAAAAAAGTAATTAAAATAAAAAACAGCCAAAACTATTGTTTGGGTTGATGGGTCAACGGTTCAACCACTCAGATCAATGGATCACTGAGCTGACCAAGTCAAACAATTTTTGGCCCAAAAAAGATTTTAGGATGAAACAGAACCAATTGCCTAACTGATTCCCAAGTCAACCAGTCTGATCATCTGATCTGATTTGGTTTTCACAAGCCACACACCTCTTGGCTAGCAGATGGAGTGACGCCGCATCAGGTCCCACTCATAAACTAGTCATGAAACACACCATTTGTTACTATCCAATTATTTATAGGTAGGGGTGGATTCGAGCCGAGCTGAGCCAAATAGCTGAATAGCTAGCTATTCGAGCTCGGCTCACCAAGGTAGTACAAGGCTTGAACTCGAGCTCAATTTGAAAAAAAAAATGTTTTATAAAAATTAAAAAAAATTATATATAAAAATATTTTTTATTTGGTATTTAAAAAATTAAGAGTTATAATAAGTAGTTATTATCATATATAAAAATAAAATATTATATATATTATTTTTTAATACTTTATTATTATTATTATTATTATTATTATTATTATTATTATTATTATTATTATTATTATTATTATTGTTGTTGTTGTTGTTGTTGTTGTTATCATTATCATTATTATTATTATTATTCTTATTATCATTATTATTATTGTGATGTAGCTATTCGAACTCGATTCAATTAATAAACAAACATGTAAATCGGACTCAAACTTGACTCAAAACTCGATTGAAACCAAACCGAACTCAAATAACTCATGAAAAACTTTACTCGTAGCCACCCCTATTTATAGGATTTAGTCAACTGGTTTAACCACAAAAGCAGCACCTTGCCATTGAACTGAATTGAAAAATCAATTGAAAAATCAATTGTAAAATCAGTTGGGCACCAACTAACCGGTTTGGTCGGGTTGTAAAATCAGTTGGGCAGAATTTCACAAGGCACCAACTAGTAGCATGCATGTAACTAGCTACTATACATGGATAATATGGTTATTAATTAAGGTTCAGTTTGGAAGGAGTACGAATACAAATCTGTACAGTGTAAATATATATAAAATAAATAATACAAAATTCAAGGTTTAGCATTTTAGATATATTTGTATTTGTACTCTTTCCAAACTGAGCCTAACAAATACATAGATAATATGGTTATTAATTAACAAACAATTTATGACTATTTTTCGTAACCCAAGACCTTTGTTTTTTTCTTTTTCTTTTTTTTTGTGGACAAAAAAAGACCAAATCGTTAAACAAAAGAAGTGATTACAACTAGACCTGTTCATGGGCCGGGCCGGGCCGGGCTTGGGCCGGGCTTTTACTGTGTATTAACAAATTTTTTTAAGGCCCGAGCCCGAGCCCGGCCCTCATAAAAAGCCCGAAGCCCGAGCCTGGGCCCGGGCCCGAAATTTAGCCTATATTATTATTATTATTAATGTTGAAGTAGCTGAATAAAGAGAGAGAGATTGAAATTATAAAGAAAAGAATAATATATATATATATATTAAATTATAAATATATATTTTAATAAATATTATATTATTTATATATTTTATATAATGTATAAAATACATATTATATATTTTATAAAATATATAATACTGAGTCGGGTCGGGCCGGGCTCGGGCCAGGCTTTTTTGACAAATCCCGAGCCT